ACACTCCAGACCTTTTGCCCTTGCAACTTCCCTCCACTTCCTCTACGTCGTGGGCCTGTTTCCATCACTCCCTAAGCCTTTTTAAGCATGGTTTTGTATTATTCCATTGTCACTTGATATTTCCCACACTCCAGACCTTTTGCCCTTGCAACTTGCCTCCATTTCCTCTACGTCGTGGGCCTGTTTCCATCACTCCCTAAGCATTTTTAAGCATGGTTTTGTATTATTCTATAGTCGCTTGGCATTTCCCACACTCCAGACCTTTTGCCTTTGCAACTTCCCTCCACTTCCTCTACGTCGTGGACCAGTTTCCACCACTCTGATACGTCTCAGGAAGCAAGTGATACAAAATATGCCACAGAACATGAACAAGACGCAAGTGATACAACTTACTACAAGAGAGCTCAATGACGAAACTGACGAAAAATCCAACGCAAAACCTGGTACATATATATATATGTATATATATGTATATACTAGCTGTTGTACCCGTGCTTTGCAACGGGAAGAGGACACAAAATACAAACATTTTGATCTTTACATTTGTTGTATAAAATAGTTACACATATAGGCTACCACTTTTAGAAACAAAATTTGGCTGCACTTTAGTATCTGTCCTACACTCATAACAATGAAAAATATCGATATAGGCTATGGATTATTCTATATATTCATTTAAATTAATAGTACTGTACCCTTTCAGTAAACTTTATAACAACCAACTTGTGTATTTGAAACAGCTGACGAAATTCTTTTATTCGTTTTAAATATTACTCATAAGGTTAACATGGGAAATTCCAGAGCCACTGGGGTGGAGCCCGAACGGACTTTTGAGATAAGAATGCGTCTATATGTTAATCGGGAATGTGAGCTATCATCACACCAAATTTCAGCCCAATCCGGCCAGTATTTTCTGCGTTTACTTGTCACAAACATACATCCATAGGCCCCTACATCCAAACTTTCTCATTTATAATATTAGTAGGATTAGTAGGATATATATATATACCATAATACCATATAACCACACTACAAATTTAATTCTACAATATACGGTACGTAGTTTTATCCAAACAAACGATCAAAAACCCCGAATGAAATTTGTAATTGACTCAATAGTCAATGCATATAAGCGAGTCTTATCTTTCGATGCAGATTAAATAATACAAAGGCAGAGGAATGCGCGAGACCAAGGACAATGTCACGGCACGGTTGCTATAGAGACGACGCAACGAGAATTGCGCGCCAACGTCAACTTAACGCCAGACTGTGTAAACACGCCGCGTGTGTAGTGTTCGACGGAGCTATAGTACTTTCAGTTGGCAATACTGGCTTCTAGCCTCGAGTGAGGTGGTTCAACCATGAGAAGCGCCTCAAACTCCTGGGTAATCCCCGGTTAGCTCCTCCCACTCTGCCCCCTATCCCCACCTAAAAGACGAGCAAGTGGTAAGTCGGTGTGGAGGATTGACGACAAGTTGGTTTCTCGAATATAATAATTTAGTTTTACCGGCCGGTCAACTGGACTGACGATGAAATAACTTGTCGACGTACTGGTTTTCAGCATTTATCTATTTAATTAAAAAAGACGGTCTAGTGGCAAGACGACAAAGTATCTTGTCGGTCTACTGGTAGGCTCCCTAATAGTATTGATATGATATAGTTACTGGGTAGAGAATATCAATAAACATTCCACATCTGCAAATGCATGTTTAGTAATTAAAATATTTAACACTTTTAAGACAATTGACGATTATGCACTGTCTGTAAGGAGTAATTGAATTTAATTTATATTTAGACCTGTTTTACGAATGCTTTGGTTTTCACAATACACCTTTATTTGTCAATATCATACAGCTATTCACTGAAACATATATGTTTTTGTAAGTCAGAATATTCAATTCTAAAAACAGAATTACTGTATACACAAATCAGGTCAAACGTTAAAATACATTTTTTATAGTAACCAAAACAAAATGCATTTTCTCAATGTAATTCATTTAGGCTCCATGCAAGAAATAGTTTATTGATCAATATGAAGCAACTGTTTCATGAAGAATTGTCTGTAGCTTTATTTAAACTAGTGGTCGTCCAGTGGTCGAAAATTCGACCAAAAATTTGTAATGTAGGCAACATTTATTGACTATTGGATACTGAAGTAGACATCCCATCTATATGGACCAGCTGTCGCCATTTTTATATTAAAAACATGTAGTTGTGTGAGCTAGTCATAGCATGCGTGTGTAAAATTCTATTTTCTGCCTTATTTTATGTCACAGACAGAGTTGATGGGTAACACCAGTTGCCATAGCTCATAATAAGTAATTCAATAAGTTTGATTTGATAAAAAACATCGTGTATTCGACTGAATAGTAATTTAGATCAGCACAATCTGTTGGTGACTCACATCAACTACGACGAATTTAATTAAATAATTGGTGACAACTTAAACATTGGGATGGAATTTCTAGTTATAAGTCAAAGGTACATGCTTTTATATTTTCACCCCCACGCTGTAAATAAAACATGTGATTGTAATTTCTTCCATTTGTTTTGATTTTCTGTTTATATTTTGTTGTTATTTCGTCACCAGCATGGCAACTCATAAAACCCATGTTAATTTTGTAAAATTTCAAATCCATTTTTTGTGCTTATATTTGAGCCTATTTAAATTTTTAAAGGGATTCTGCACTTCTGCAGGTAAATGTCTTTCTAACGGTATGCGTAGATTTTCCCTGCAATAAACAGGAGCTGAGAAAAAAGGTTTTAAAGAAACATGCTTGCCTATTAATATATAGATAGATGGTTTCAACTAACAGCTGTAGGAATGTTATTATTATTTATTGCCTTCTCTGCACAAATGTCAACAATCTGCACAAATGTAAACAAAATAAATGTTGAATATTTAAGGTTTTCAGAATTTTTCACCGAAACAAATATTATACTTAAACATAATATATAAGGTACCAAATAGAAACTCTCCTGGTTATTTTGGTGGTGGAACCACACTGATCGGTAAAAGAATCACAGAGAAATTGGTGAACATACATATAAAAAAAAACATCGCCACAAACAAATTGAGAACCTCCTCCTTTTGATGGTAGTGGGGAAGTCGGTTAAAAACACTTAAAAAGTGTTCGTCTAGTTGTTGATAGCTTTGGTTGGATATAAACCTATTTATATTGTAATTACATAAATTGTTATAAAAACGTGCAAGCCATACTATAGAACGTAGATGACTAGAAAATAAAACATAAATTAATAATTGGACATTTTATATTCCGCTTTAACTAATATTAATTTAGCTTTACTTTGTACCAAAGTTACCACTTATGTTGTTTTATGCTTACTTCGAATCTGAAGTTTATATCTCTTACGGTAATAATGTAATGTAAAAGTAATGGTATAACATGGTTTTCCTGGAACAATGTTATCCCTGTTGAACAAAGAGCCATGTGCGTTAACTACTATTTTATTAAAAGTTATGTTGAATTATATCTACCATTAAAAAACCTGTTATATTTGTAAATAAGTTTATAAAACTGTAATATGAATGGAGAGTATGTAATAGAAGACTAGAGGGTAGACATCAATAACTGAATGCTAAACAAGGATGATGACTATTTTTTATTTTAATTATATGGCAAATGTCGTAACATATAAATAAAATGCGTTAATGGTTGCTTATATGTGAAAAAGTGTATAAGGCTTATAAGGTTTAAATTTAGGCTATTTTGTTATAAATGATTGTGTAGCTTAAATAATAACATTTGTTGTTATTAATATTCTGTTTTGTATCGAACAAGAATGTTACTTACATAAAAAGGTCAAAGCCCAATATTTCACATGACATTGCAGATGCATGAAAACATAATTACGGAAACAATATTTGTTATTGGTATTTTAGAAATAAATGTAATTCGAATTTACACATGTTTAACATACTTTAATACGTACTAATTGGTCCAGTTTTGAAACTAATTCTTCATTTTGTTTGCGTTAATGTTCATACAAAAATAATGGAAACTGCAGTAATCTTCCACAAGTTAAAAATCTAATTACCCTCTTTGAAATTACTATATTATCAATAATTGGCTTATATTTTAGGATAAAGGGATAGAATTCCACAAAACCTCGTAATAGTCAATATGAGCAAATTGCAAAATGAAGCTAAGCATCTCAAACTAATTAACGAATAGAAGATAACAGTTTTTAGAGTATTTTGAGAATTAACTTGTTGATAACATTCAAACAAGTTTCAAAATTTTGAATTTTAATGCTTAAGTTGTTAAAAATTTAAATAGCTATGTATATTATACACATGAAAGTTAATGGGAGTTTCACAGCTTTGTAATAAAAGTTAAGGGTAGTAGGGCAGTTAGTGTTCCCTATGGGGAAATTGTAACTAAAACAGTCAAATCCGTAACGGCTCATCAACTTTGTTACATGATGCTGGTTTGCAATTAGAATGTTAACGTTCTAATTTTATATTTGAATATAAGTTGTATAGTAGGTTGCTAAACATCATTTAGTTTTATGTGCGTTACATTTATTATTTGGTTTTTAATGAAGTGACTACAACAATTGGCACATTTATTTGTTCAAACCGGTATGTCCACTTAACAAAATTATATAACGATAGTAAAAGATTACAAGCTAAAGTAGCTATAATTTACGGCTGAACTAGTAAAATGAACGAAGCAAAATGTTGCAAATTACCATAAAATTTGAGTAATGTTAGGAAAAGAAATTTAATTAGTTTTAAGCATACTACTACTTTAAAGCTATGACATGTGTAAACTAACTTCAAATATGAACCAATTCTCAATAAAGTTTAATAAAATCAGTCTCAAGTTAGTTGGAACAAATTTACTATTTCTTTTTTCAACACACAATGTTTACATTCATGCTTCTTTAAATTATCATAATTAAACATCTGTTAATATATCTGAAATACAAGTCATATCTTTGCAAAGAGGATAATATTGAATTATATACCAATATTACATTTTATAACACACTCCCCCTTTTTTTGCGAGGTCGCAAAATAAGAAGTCTTCATTCAGTCCTTCTCCGGTAACTTCCAGTGGGTACAGTCGTTGTATGGGTCTTAGTATTAAACCCTTTTTAGTTTTTACTTGTACCAACCGAACTTTGCCGTCTTTCCCTGGGAACAGTTTTATTACAATACCCAAAGGCCAAGTAATTCTTCTTCTGTCTTCAATTCGAACCAATACCACGTCTCCAACTTTAATATCGTCGTATTTTAACTTGTTGGTCGATTTCAGGAACCCCAAATACTCCTTTTTGAAACGGGAGTTCATATTGTCTCTTAGACTTTGAATATATCTCCATCTTGTTTTCAAACTGGTTCTCTCTAGGATGTCCAAGTCCGTGACTTCATTTCCCACAATGCTTTGTAGAAACATAGATGGAGTCAGAGGTCTTAAGTCTCCCGTCTCCTCTGAGACGTATGTTAGTGGTCTTCTGTTCATTATTCCCTCACATTCACATACTAGGGTGTTTATTTCTTCGTATGTGAGAGACGAATTTCCCAAATTCCTCCGGAGGAGTCCTTTTAGGATCCTTATCAGTCTTTCCCAAAATCCTCCCCACCAAGGACTTGCAGGGGGAATGAACTTCCACACAATTGCATTGAGGCTGAATGTATTTTGGATTTCAGTCCAGTTCAGAGACTTCAGATTCTTGTTTAAACTAACAAAATTTGTGCCATTATCTGAATAGATAACACTTATCCGGCCTCGTCTAGCTATAAACCGTCGTAAGGCTCTTATGAATGCTTCTGTGTTGAGGGATTGTATGACTTCTAAGTGGACTGCACGATACGCGGCACATGTAAATATTACCACCCAACACTTCTGATTATCTTTAGTGATCAATGGACCAGCCAAGTCAATCCCACATACTTGAAAACATGAAGAAATCTGAGTGCGGTCTGTGGGTAAGGGAGGTGATGGCATCTCTAAGGCTTTTGCTATGTGTCGCTTGCATCGAACACAGTTGTGAACTACCTTTCCAACAGCCCTTCTGCCTTTTAGGATCCACACTCTGTCACGAAGGATGACAATCAACGCTTGTACTCCTGCATGTTTATTCTGTAAATGGTACTGCCTGATCATTTTCTCAACAACAGGGTGTTTGCTAGGTAGAATGGCAGGGTACTGGTATTCAAAACCTTCCTCCCAATCTGATACTCTGGTTTTCATTCTTATGACGCCATCTTCATCCACAAATTTTTGTACACCACTTAGCTCTTGAGATTTTAGACCTTCATGAAAGCTCTCTCTTTGAATCAATTTAAATACAATCTTTTCTGCCTTCAAGAATTCTTCAGAACTGATGTTATTTCCTAAGTTCAATTTATTCTTGGGAGACATTCTCAAGATCCACGCTATAGTTCTTACTATCGGAGTGCATCCTCTGGAAAGAATGTCAGCAGGGTTGTCAGGTCCTGAAACATGTCTCCACTGTGAAAGTTGGGTCAATCTGTTAATTTCTTTCACTCGGTTTTCAACAAAAACAGACCACTTCCCTTGCTTTGCAATCCATGCTAGAACTACGGTGGAGTCCAGCCAATAATAAACTGGGACTTCGGGGTTGTTGAGACACTGTAAAGCTAGACATGAGAGTCTCACACCAGTAATTGCACCCATTAACTCAAGACGAGGTAAAGTAATTGGTTTGATTGGTGCAACTCGTGATTTGGCTAATATAAGATTTATGTCAATGATACCATCTACTTCGGTTCTTAAGAATATACAACATCCAAAAGCAGCTTTACTGGCATCACAAAAAACATGTACTGTACTTGAAGCATTCAAAAATATTCTCCTACTCAATACACACCTTTCCAGACAGCCTAGTTCCTCGACCCATTTTTGAAACTGTACCTGTAGGTTTTGAGGTAGTTCTTCATCCCAACCTACCTTCAACGTCCAAGTCATTTGCAAAATAATTTTGGGAATCAGTCCAACCGGAGCAGTAAAACCAATAGGATCGAAAACCTTTTGAGCACATGATAGCAATGTCCTTCTGGTAAGTACTGAGTCCTTGATATTCAAAGGTTGAACATTACAGTACAGTTCATCTTTAGAGCATAACCATCTAAGTCCCAAGACGTTCTCAACTTGTTCAGGAGTTTTAAAGTAACCGTTACCAGCCCAACCCCTTAGGTTAAAGCCTCCTAGCTTTAAAAGTGTTTGAGCATCATTTATGAAATTCTCTTGCTCAGAAATGCTGTTAACTCCCGTAAGGCAATTGTCAACATAAAAAGTTTTTAGCAAAGCCTTGGCTACATGTCTAAGATTGGTAGGAGCGTTTTCCAGAAGATTATTTAATACTGCTCCCAAAAGAAAAGGACTAGGCTACACGACAAACCGAAGACAACTCTAGCATGGCGGTAAACGATCACGTGACTGTCTTCCCACCACAAAAATCTTAACATGTCTCGATCATCATGGTCAATTCTAATTTGTAGAAAAGCCTTTTCAATATCTGCCGTTAAAGCAAATGCATGTAACCTAAAATTAGTCAGTACCTTAGGTATTAACTCTATCAAGTTAGGTCCAGACTCAAGACATCCATTAACAGAATATCCATTTATGTCTTTAGCGGAAGCGTCAAAGACAGGTCTGATCCTCGTGGTGCTTCCCTCCTTGACAACAGCCCGGTGTGGTAAATAGTGACTTTTCAATGGCTGTGAAATGTTTTCATCTGTCACTCGCTCAATGATGCCTTTGGTCAACCAATCCTTCAATACTAAATCATAATCAAGATACATATTACACTGTTTCAACTTACGTGTTGTTGACAACAGACGTTTATTGGCTACTTCACGGTTCGTATCCAGAGGGGGGTGGTCTTCAATCCAAGGTAGTTTTACCTCGTAGCGTCCATCCACATCTCTGGCGACAGTGTCTTCGAAGAACGCTAAAACATCTCTATCTCTCTCCTCTTTCTGTTGTTTGACACTCGGATCCATTATACCCATTGTCTCTAGTTCCCGAAATTGCCTAATATCTTGTGAAGATTGGAAAGCCACAAACATGGAGGAGACAAAAGAAGATTACTCGTCAGACGTGACAACAATTGTCCAGCCCAATCGAGTTTTTACAGCTACAAGTTGCTCATTTACCTTATGAAACTCTGGAGTGATGATCTGTGTCCAAACGTCAGCTCCTAATAAGACATCAATACCAGTGAAGTCGTCACCGTCACAAGAAGAAACATCAGTCAGAAATATGTTTTCTTTCTCTAAACGAGTGATCAAGCTGTAATCACAAAACTTAGGAACATGATTACAGATAACATGTTGTTCAACAACGTTGACACTTGTCCGAAAGTTCTCATTTATTGAGCTCAAATTTAATTCATAGGTGTTATGATATTTAGGACCGGATTGTTTACCTCCAAAGACTTCTTGCTGGATCAGAACCTTACCATTGCTTGAGAGACTCAATTTAGATACACAGAGACTAGAAATGAAGCTTTTCTGTGAACCTGAGTCAAATAAGATTCTAACCCTTTTCGGTTCTCCATTTACATTAACAAAGGCATACAAAGTTTGTAAATAGGTAGTTTTACTTTTGTTGTTCAAAGTCGAAAATGAACTAGTACTTTGAACCGGAGTTTGTTTTGACTTGTCCTCACCACTCGGCTTGGATTCATTAGTGGTAGGGATCTTTTGACATAAGATTGCCAGATGTTTACCCATACAGATGTGACATTTTACCTGAATCCTGCACTTACTTGCTAAGTGTCCCTTCTTCAAACATTTAAGACACAACCCCTTTTCTTTGCAATCTCGGTTCTTTCTGAGGTTGTCTTATCAAAGATGGAAAAACAATCAGATGAATTGTGAGTTGATTTTCCACAAAATGCGCAAATATTCTTATTGGGGTACATACCTGTGCTCATTTTAGGATCCTGATGTCCATCAGACGATACCAGAACTGCTGCTGAAGGTGTCTTAGGCTTACCAGTTCGTTGTTGTTTCTGTGAATCTTCATTTGCCTTGTTATTTTCACTACTAACTACCCCAAAACATCCTTCTCTCAACTTAAATCTCTCCTCTGCCTCGACTTCCGTCTTTAGGAACAACAATAGCTCTCGTAAGCAATTACCAGGCTCCATTGTGGTCACATTTTTGCCTACTCGATACCTTTCCCAAACTTTAAAAATATTCTCTGGTATTGAAGTTTCGACAAGAGGGAATAACATAGCGGCATATTTTTCCTTAGTGACGCCCAAAGTTTCAAGAGCCCGCAGCTGCACTAAGTCTATCATAGAGGTTAGTGACAGACACCTGGCTACTTTTACTTAACACTAAGGTCAACAGCTCCCTTACATAATACTCGATTAGTAATTCGTCTTTGCCAAATCGAGATTTCAAGAGCTCGATTGCTTTATAATAGTTTTCCTGAGACAAAGGAAAACCCTCGATCAGTTTTAGAGCCGCGGAACCTGGTGTCATTGATTGAATTAAATATTCGAATTTATCCTCATCACGCAGACTCTGATCATTATGAATTTTCGAAAACTGTGACCAAAATCCAATTCAATTTTTGAACTGCCAGTCAAATTTCTTTAGTTCAATTTTTGGTAAACGAATTTTGGTTTCATGTTTAGAGGGGTTCAACTCACCTCGGTCGCTGCAGGGAGAGGTTTTTACCAGGTTTTTGTATTGGGCCTTCATGTTGAACCACTTGTCTCGAAACTCTAACGAAGCGTCGTACTCTGCGTCCAGGTCAGCGTCAGAAGTGTTCTCGCCTAGCATCAAGTCTTGTATCTGTTCATCCATAGTGAAGAGATTGTCACATGTCCACTCCATACTTAAATATTGTGTTTCAATGGCTACCAGGAGTTCTTCTTTTGGCAAATCTTCTTTTAAAACATTTTCAAAATTATTATGTGCTTTCAAAAATTGTCGCCGAAGCTGTCTTCTCTTCCTTCCTGTTTAAACGTATTAGGTCATCTGCCATTTTTTGTTAATTGACCTTCAGGTTTTATACAATAATTAATACTTCAAAATAATTTATTCTTCTAATAATCCTGGCAGGGTCGCCAAAAATGTAAACTAACTTCAAATATGAACCAATTCTCAATAAAGTTTAATAAAATCAGTCTCAAGTTAGTTGGAACAAATTTACTATTTCTTTTTTCAACACACAATGTTTACATTCATGTTTCTTTAAATTATCATAATCAAACATCTGTTAATATATCTGAAATACAAGTCATATCTTTGCAAAGAGGATAATATTGAATTATATACCAATATTACATTTTATAACACAACAGGCATACATCTAACAAAACACAATCGTGTAGAGTTTTCAAGCAGTGACTATATAAATTGATGGAAACAATTAAACTATTACATACCTCGTCATATGCTACTTCAAATACAATATTGACGCGTCCAAATTGGATAAAATGTTTCTGTAACTACTTAAGAATGCCATATATAGCGAAACATATGTAGTGGACCTCAAACACTATATTATTTGAACTGCAAGACGAGGTATGTAATAGTTTAGTCTACTACGCAGTTCAAGGGCTACAAAATTGAATTTAATAAGGCAACAAGTAACGAATTGGATGAATGTACAATGCACATTTGCCGAATACAAAGTTTCAGTGATTCCTTAGACAGGATCACATATTAAAACTCAATATTAAAAGATTAGCCAGATCCAGTTTATAACGATCGAACGGGTGTAGTACCAGTACTTGCATAAATTCAGTTAAAACTGCAGTATAGTTGAATTTGAACACAATGCTTGCAATCCTGTTTTATAGAGCAGAGTCCAAGGTGCTAAGCCGTTAATGTTGATTCTTATCCCATGGAAGTATCAATTTAATAAAGATTAATGTTACAGCAACAATAATTGTATGATACAATACATGTACAGTCCGTAGTTTAAAATCTCTTACATTAGTATAAGATATTTTATGGACTCTATAATTGCTTCTCTTACTACAATAAAAAAGAAGAATATTTGTGCTTATAAATAGTTGTCTTTTAATTTGAATATGTTGTAGTTTGTGATAAGCATTGTCGTGATTTGCTTGATCAGTTATTAAATAAAACCCCAATTTCTATTTAATCTTTTTCTAAGGGACTGGCTTTTATTCATCGCTGAACTACTGTTTGTTTTCAACATTTATTTATTTTTACACTCATGTGTTTATATCGTTTCATAAATGTAATCAAGTTTATTTTGTTGTTTTGCTTTGTGAAGAAAACAAGGTCATTTTGTTGTGTTCAGTATATCCTAGTTATGTCATTGACTTTCATTACTGACATCGTCCGTGATATTTACCGAGGGTAAATCGCATATACGTTGACAACGACAGCATGAAAAACATTCCCAGGTATGTGTGAAAAAATCATCAAATGAACATAACAAAATGGCTTTAAGCGTAAGAGAACCCTAGAACCGTGAATATCGTTACGGAACCAGTAGTGTCGTTAAGTGTGTCGTAAACCTTATTGTCTACTCTTAAGATATCAAGAAACTGCGAGAAGCTCTCGGCTGTAAAGCACTTTATTGGTGGGTGTTTATAATTGGTTTCAGTAGTTGGTTTATCTTACATAGATAAGGTTGTGAAAACAATTGTCTTATGCGGAAGCATTTTTGGGATTCAAATGAGATCTAAATAATTCAACTATCTTCGTTTATTGAAAGTTTAGATACCGTGGACCAAGAATTGATTTGAAAGAGGAACCAGTGACTTTGACTTTGAATCCTTGGTATCCACACAAAACTACTGACCGCTAACATTTCATATTTTAAGAAGGCCACAAAATAATTGTACTTCATTCTAGTCATGCATCGTAAGTTTGGTTCTGGAGGATGACCTTAGCTATAATATAGAGACGAGAATAACACGTAATATTTTTCTTACTCATATTTAATAATGAAGTGGTATTATCACGATGGCACTCAGATAATTAATAACTGACAGATATTAACTGGAGTTATTTGTCGTTTTCAGTGTTCTTTGGGTTGAATGTATGTCAAATTTACTTCGTTATTTACTATCATGTAGGTATCGTTGTTACTAGTGTTATTACTAGCAATTATCTATTGTAAAACACTCAAGACGCCATAGAAAAGAATAGAATCGCGGAAGTTGGCAGTTCTTGAAGTTCTTATTTATTGAATCCTTCTGAACTAGATTTATAGGCAGTAGAAGACTTTATTTTTATTTACTGTCTCAATGGCAAGAACTGGAAATTGTTTTATTATTACCTTATTATGTAGTCTTCATTGAAGCAGAAATCCTTATACCGCTCTTCAATTTCAGATAAAATAAAGTAAAACTTGACAGGCCTATTGAGTATTATTCCTTAATAAAAACCAATATAAATAAGATAATCCAATATGAATAGGTCAAATAACAGGGTAAACATTGGAGTACATTATTATGCAACCATAATTTTTATTGATATAGGGTAATTTATGAGAAAAAAGCTACGACTTACAATTCCGTATTTCTTAAACCAAAATCTTCTTCTTTAGGTACGAAAACAAATGTTCAAACGCATTGCTGTTTTGGAATTTGATTTGGAACTTACATAACAATAACAATAATTATAGTCATAAATTTTAATCGCTTGTTCTGTTGTCATAATTTTTTATGTTTGATCTGTCTTGGTCGCTAGATTAGAACTCATTCGTGACAATTAAATAGCCCAATGTTTTAAGATTCCATACGAATTCAAAGATGTGCATCCGGTAGGAATCGAGGTCTACCACTAAGTTTTAAGAAGTTGGCAGACACTTTCAAAAGTCTAATGTTGTTTTAAAACTCGGCATGAAGCCAAAAGAACCAGTAGGCTTTGGATAGAGGGTTCAGAAAATATACGTATATCAGTAGCATAAGTTTGAATATTGATCCATATACACTAATGTAAACTTCAAGACGGACACAAATTGTGTTGGTGACCTAGCTCAGTGAATCAATAACACAATACCAGACTAT